GCGGGTTTTAAAAGGTTGAAGCTTAATGACATCTAAACATTATGAAACATTGTTAAATATTTTTATTCTATGTAAAATCATAACATGGTTAAATATTTGTGTTCTATATAACATTGTTGTTAAATATTTTTGTTCCATTGAACATTGTTAAATATTTTTGTTCTCTGTTATAAATTTGTGTGTTTCTTTAATCTACATTTGTGTTGGTGTAATGTTCCAGGTGCATTTTGTGCGTTCGTTTTATTTTACATTTAAGTATTTCTAATGCCTCTGAATATTTTCCTAGTTCAGATTTCCAAAATTCGTGAGGTCAGAGAGGGTGAAAAGGATTTCTCCAAGAAGATGAAAGACTTACAGGTAAGTGACACAGTCAACAGATACCAGGAAATTTGTGGACTTTTCGTTTTTATCTAATTGCTATTTGACGTCTTTGAAAGTTCCATATCACAACTTCTGTAACTGACATACGTCATTTTTTAAAGATAATGATCGCTTGTATTTGTAAACAACTTTGACATGAAATAATAAATCAGGTCATGAAATGACAAACCACGACAACACATTAATAACTAGTACATGAAATTAATAACTATGAGATTTTATAACAAACCAAATAATCTTCTAACTACTTTATGTGTCTAACCCTATTGACCACAGAAATCGTGTTGTTTCGTGATCATTCTCGGGGCATCGCACAAGATCATGTACATGTTGGCCCCCGACCAGGAGATGCGGGACAAGTGGATCAGGGCACTGAGGTACGCCATGCAGATGGAGCAGTTGGCAGAGCAAAGGAATGAGACGGATAGATATCCTTTAATCTGTTGGCTCATGCAGCATACAATAACTTGAACAATTGATTACATAGCACACAGTAACTTGAACAATAGATTACATAGCACAATATAACTTAAAAAATTGATTAGATAGAACACAATAACTTGAACAATTGATCACATAGCACAACATAACTTAAACAATTGATTACATAGAATACAATAACTTGAACAATTGATCGCATAGCCCAACATAACTTGAACAACTGATTACGTAGCACAACATAACTTGAACAATTGATTACATAGCATACAATAACTTGAACAATTGATTACAAACCACACAATAACTTGAACAATTGATTACATAGCACAACATAACTTGAACAATTGATTACATAGCACACAGTAAACTTACTTGAATAATTTAACAAGGGACTAATACTAATAGCACACAATTACTTGAATGATTTGTCTCATAGGGACTGGGGTAATTTATCATTGCTTTGGCTTGCAAAGTTCTTTGGTTCTAACCTTTAACTGTCCACACGAATATTCGAGAAGCATTCAACAGAGCAGACATCAACGGTGACGGCCATCTTGATTTTGAAGAAGTTATGAAACTGCTCAAGTCGCTCAACACAGACATCAAGAAAAAATATGCACGCCAGATGTTTGATGTAGGTAGAAATTTTTTTATCGTTATTTATCTCATAAGAGTGGAGTCCAAGGCTATATTTTGGATCCTAACTTCATTCCATTGTATTACATCA